CTTTCTGCAATGCCATTTTGTTATGGTGAATAAGGTACAGTAAGCTCATGTATTATACCATGATTTGCAAAAATTCCTCAAATGATGATACATCTTAACCTCCATGATCACTTCTTAATACTTTAATTTTCATGTTGAGTTGATTCTCAACTTCACTTTTATATACTTTAAACCTCTTTATAGCCTCATCTTTACTTTTAACTAAATAGACATAGCATAATTTAGAGCAATCATCAATAAAAGTTATAAAAGTACTTAGTTCCACCCTTAGATGAATTTGATTTCATGTCAAGTGGTTTAGTTTTTCTTTGAATGGATTTAAATGATTGTCATGTTAATTTCGATTCAACACAAGTGTTGTATTTGTATTTTGAGTCAATTTGAAAATGTGGTATGTGCTCGAGTTTTGTTAAATGTTGAAGAGGATCAAAATTATCATGTCCTAATCTAGCATGCCAAATATTTGAAGACTCAAGAAGTAAGTAGAAGAGTTATTCATTTCATTATAATTGTCAATTGGGTTTTCGCTTGCCATTGAATGAAGTTTTGTATGTACCCTATCAACATACCCCTTACCCACATACACACCATTTTTTGTTAAGACAAATTTATTCGACTCAAACACCAAGCGAAAACCATAATTGTTTAACAACGAACCCGACACAAGATTCTTACAAATGTTGGGTATATACAACACTTCATTCAACGTCAACTCTCTTCCCGATGTCATCTTCAACACAATTTTCCAAACAACTTGGATATCAGAAGTTGTCAAGTTTCCCATGAACAACTAATCATCATTGTCCACAACCTTGAATTTTCTAAACCATTCTTTATTTGAGCAAAAAAATGACAAGTAGCTCCCATATCAATCCACCAGTCCCTTGGATTAGACTCCACAAGGTTAACTTCAATGAGAATCGCTGAAAGATTGATGTCAGACACATATTTGGTTATATTCTCCATAATGTTTGCCTCTTTTGCAATTAGCAACCCGATGACTAGATAGATCACAGTTGTGGCAGTTTCCTTAAAAGTTCCACCTTTGACTCCCAATCTTGCATCGTTGTCTTTCTTTGGGAATTTACCCTTTCTTGATTTGTTCTTCTCAGAACTTTGACCATGCTCTACCACATTAGCTTTCTCAGAGGTAGGGTTATAACTACTCTTTTGAGTTATCTTATTGTCTTCTTTAATTCGAAGGAGAACAATTAGGTCCTCAATGTACATTTCCTTTCTCTTATGTTTCAAGAAATTCTTGAAATTAACACAACTATGGGTTATGTTCTCAATCATGGAAGCAACAACAAAGGCTCACTAAAACCCATACCATCGACATGCATATCATGTAGGATAACATGTAGTTCTTGGACTTGGTAACTAACATTTTTCCCATCAATCATTTTATAAACCGGGCAACTAAAAATTTCTTGGTCCCGACATCTTCAGTTTTGTACTTATTGTCCAATGAGTCCCACAGTTCTTTGGTCGTTTTTGTTATACAGTAGACATTATACAATGAATCAATAAGACCATTAAGAATATAGTTCGTACATAAGAAATTAGAATGTTTCCAAGCTTCAATAGCACTCAAATCTTGCACATCTCCTTCTCCTTTGGGCATCCTCAGAGCCTTTTCAGTTAAGAATCTAGGAAGATTCAATGTGTTAAGGTAGCAGAACATCTTTTGCTTCCACCTTTTAAAGTGCAGCCTGAAAATCTTTTATGGCTTCTCCCAATGATTAAGTGGCACAATCATCGTTGGAGCTCCTTGAGAATTAGGAGTACCATTAGACTTTGGTTAGGAGCTTTCAACAGTCCTGGTTCAAAGAGAAACAATAGTTTTAGTTAAACGAATATAAAACAATTAAAGATTAGTGCATAACAACTAAAACTGTTAGGAAAGTGTCTTTGGTCAGATTATGAATTCTGAAATTGTGAAGACAAATTGAATCTAAAAACAGCTTTAGAAAAGAATTTCTGAAAATAGTTACAAATTATAGATGCAATAAACCTAAAATAGTAACAGATTATAGATGCAGTAAACCAAAACTGATTAACAGTTAATTTAGCTTAAAAAGAAAATAGAAAATGTCTTACAAAATGATTTTTTAAAACATATTTTGCAAATATGAGGGAAAAAAATTGTGTTTTCATTTTTATAAGAACTGTTACAGAAAACAGAATGGAATTATTTTTTTCAGTTGTTCGTTTTGCACAATCGATTTGTTTTAAGACTGTTACGAAAATATAACCCACAAAATGCACAAAAGAACTAAAGTAGAAACTGTTTACTGGGCTTGTGTTTAACATAATGTCCTTAAAACAAAATTTGCCCTATATGGCAGTTTATTTCCTAGGATACAACTGTAGAAAGAAATTCTTCTAGATTGCCCGAAACCTCACTCGACCGGTGGTGATTCGTACCCACAGGACACGCACTCACACACAAGTTCATTGAACCCAAGCCAAATTGGTTCTCATTTGCATCCCATGTATGCGCACACAAGAGAACCTTTGGTTCAATAATTCTTACAAGCGTTAGAAACCCTTTTAGTTATATACCTATTTCCTTTTCTTTCTCCCACCTATGTGGAATGGAACAAAACCCAATTAACTCATGTTTAATCTCTTTCAACTACCTCACTTTGAGAAGTAATTTCTCAATCATTTTTAATCCGTTTTGGACGGCTGATATATCAATACGAAGGTATCATCAAGGATAACACAAACACATAATCATTTGTCCTTTTTGATAACATTAGAGTTCAAAATTTGTGCTCAAAATGGGGGAAACCCCATTTTTGGAAATTGCTAAAACCAATTTTTCAACAATTCATCTATCCACCCACTTCTCACCCATATCATTAATTAAAGTTGTTAACGTTACTCGTATCATGACCCAAAGTCGTTCCAAGCTCAATATTCCACACCAAATCATTAAAAAAGACTTAATGCTTACACATGTCGCTCCAATTCTTCGGCTCCCTTTTCCCACTCGACATGGATGACGTAACTGAAAATGATGGGTTTACCTAAGTTTTTGAGATTGTGTTGGAAGCATCAGGACCATTTTCTTTCTTCAAATTTGATTCAAATGGTTCCTGAAAATGGTCACCATTGAACCCTGGTGATTTGTACAACAATTATGACATTTCCAGCTCCGATTCAACCACCTCAAATTGTTTATAAGGCTTCACTTGTTCCAATACAAATTTTTCGGTTATGTAGTACCAGTAATAACTTTTTCATGTTTATTTTTCCCACTTTTTCTAATGTTACCTCCACAAAAAGCCCTCCAACTTCTGATCTATTTTTCAGATTTTGACCTTTGTTCGCATACTCAAAATCATAATAACCCATTAAATTGCTTCTTCTCAACTAGGCCAAGACCATAAACCATTAAATTTTCAACATCATCCTCTATAGGATCAACCCCAATCTCACATTCTTTACTACCATAATCACTTTTTCTTGATTTAAGTAGTCTCCCGCATTTCATTCTAGGGTTTTATCTATATCTTCATTTATTCAGCGTTATCTTCAACAAGATCAATCCTAATCTCGAAACATTAACATTTTCTAAGATTATCACCCCATTCTCGAGTTCAACTTAACAAGAGAAAAGAAAGGAAATGGATGGAAGTGAAAAACAAGTAAAAGAAATTGGTATTCCCGAGTTTCATTAAAGGAAAGAAGTGGAAGGAAATGGAAGGACCACTTTCCCTCCTAAGTTTCATTCCGATTTCGAAGCATTTATAGAAAAAAATCCTTAATTTTCCTTTCACTTCTCTCCAACTCAGGAACACAAACGATAAATTTATTTTCATTTCCTTTATCTTCTTTTCTCTCCTTACTTTCTTTTCTCTTATTTTCTTTCCTTTGCTAAAACTCACGGACTCGAGTATATTCTTCACTTTAGTCTTAACTCAAATACGACCATCAGCCATGTTATTTTGTTGATCGGCATCTATAAACATCAACATTCCTCGCATGCTTGCTACCCCTATCAAATACATGTGATTCCATGCATATAATGAAATACCTTATATTTCCAACTGTGTCATACATTTTTTAATTATAAATTTGGTTGTTAATGGATTCAATTATGTGAAATAAGAAGTAACATTATTAGTTTTTTAAAAGTTAACACATTCACTTGTTGATTTAAATTCCATGCCCGTGTATGTTCCTACAATGTACTTAATCTCAATATGCACATCTCTAACATTAGCCACAACGACACAACTAGAGTCTTAAATGGTTAATAGGTCCCTAGACTCATTTATGATCTATCTTGAAGAACCTTCACTTAGTTTTCCAACAGCTTCTTCATTATTCCCTTTAAGAACATCTATAAATGATTTTAACTCACATATCCCCATTATTTTTTTCATTTTGATTTTCTTTTGTTTTAATAAAATTATTTGTTTCATGTTGTTTTGTACCCCATGATTCTTTTACATATTTTGAAATCACCACTCCAACCATTATTTCTTCTCTTATCTTGATTATTATCCAGTATTGCTCCATCATTGATCAGAGTTAGTTGGATTCCGTAAGGATGTCGTCACATTGTAGGATTTTTTATTGGAGTTTTTTTTCCTTAAGTAGAGTCTCTATTGACAATATAAAAAAACTAACGAAGATTCATATTGAAATTGGTTTAGCTGTTATTTTTCAAAATGAGCAAAGATTGTTTATAAGAGTTATTCAATTATATAAATCATCAATGTAAAGTTATTTATTTTATTTTAAGATGTAGATTACTTGTAAATTTTGAAATAAGAAAAATAAAGTTCTCTATGAATTCTTCTATGATAATTACAGAATAATAAGTTTAATACTAAAGACAAAGATAACGGTGACTTTAAATCACACTAATAGATCTTTTGTGAAAACTCAATATTACATCGATACGAATTACTAAAAGTCTTTAGGTGTCGATGTTAATTTATTAATTTTAATATGTTTTCCTTCTTTTAGGTGTTAGTATAAGCATGGGATTGCTTTTCTTATCGGTGATCAGCTATGCATTGTACAAAATAATCAAGAAAACTAAAGCCAAGAAAAGGAAACAGAGATTTTTTAAACGCAATGGTGGTCTACTTCTTAAACAACAACAAGATACTGATATCGGTTTAGTTGATAAAACAATACTTTTCACTTCCAAAGAATTGGGGAAGGCCACCGACCATTTTAATGAGAATAGAATTCTTGGTCGAGGAGGTCAAGGTACAGTATATAAAGGTATGTTAGCTGATGGAAGGATCGTAGCAATAAAGAAATCGAAGGTGGTTGATGAAAGCCAACTAGAAGAGTTCATCAATGAGGTAGTAATTCTCTCACAAGTCAACCATAGAAATGTGGTCAAACTATTGGGATGTTGCCTAGAGACCGAGGTCCCACTACTTGTCTCTGAGTTCATCCCAAATGGTACGTTATATGACCTTATTCAAGATGAATCTGGTGAGTTGTCAGTCTCTTTATCTATGAGATTACAAATTGCTACAGAGGTTGCTGGAGCACTTTCTTACTTACATTCAGCAACCTCCATTCCCATATATCATAGGGATGTGAAGACGACTAACATACTTTTGGATGAAAAGTATAGAGCCAAAGTTTCTGATTTTGGAACTTCAAGATTTGTATCAATAGATCAAACTCATTTGACTACCTTAGTAAAAGGTACATTTGGTTACTTGGATCCAGAGTACTTTCAATCGAGCCAATTCACTGAAAAGAGTGATGTATATAGTTTTGGTGTTGTTTTATTGGAACTCTTGACAAGTGAAAAGCCTATTTCCTTTACTAGATTTGGTGAAAATAGAAATTTGGCTACATACTTTATGTTAGCCATGGAAGAAGGTCATGTGATGTCTATTTTTGATGCAACGGTTATTAAGGAGGGTTCTAGCATTGAGTTACTAGCTATAGCTAACTTAGCAATGCGATGTTTGAACTTCAATGGGAAAAATAGGCCAACAATGAAAGAAGTTGCCACTGAGTTAGAAGGCATCAGACTATCATATGTTCCATCTACAGATCAAATTAATTTTGGACATGTAAAGCAACACGAGGAGGTATTGCTTTCATATGGTGACTCAACATCAACATCAACATCATTCACATTCGGCGACAACCCTAGTCGTTGAGTTGTGGTAAACCTCATGTTTTCTTTTTGTTAAGTATTAGTTCTCCTATAATAATTGTGTGTTAATAAATTAGTTGCATATGACGGGTTGAAGGTTAAGAGGTATCGTATATGTTGTATCTATTTCTTCTTTCATATCATATATATTTTATGCTTTTCGTATTACATTTTTGTTGTTTAAAATTTGATAAGTTCTTAATAAAAATGAATGGTGTTTTGTGTATCTTATCATTAATCTTTAGAATAGGATCTTAATACATTAGACATGTTTATTTGTTAACATACTAGGTTAGAGACCCTTTTATACACTGGTTGACAACTTAGAAAATCAAAATACATTTCTAAAATATGAAAAATATAAAAATACAATGCTAAAATACAATAGAATATAAAAATATGAAAGATTATGAAAGTACAATAGTGAAAAGGTATGAACTATGACTTTTTATAATCTTTATTTGTTTTGTATTACAAAGTTATACTTTCAATGTAGAATGGTATTGTATTTTATTATTGTTACACACAAAAACCCACACAAACGTGGAAAAATAGTAAAATTTTAGAAGTACAATGTTGAAATAATAAAAGTTTGAAAGTAGAGTGTTGTATTAGGATTTTTTTTTTTTTGTGAGTAAAGAAGGCTAAATTACAATCAGATAAATGCTTAGACTTGCCTGTGGAAACCATTTAATTACTCAAATCTTTGGATAATATATATCAATTTAAAAAAAATCAATGACCTATTTGCTTGATATAAGGAATTCTTAGTTGTAAAGTACTATACATTTCCTTCATCAAATATTTAGAATTATCCATCAATAGAAGAAAATTTTGGTCATATAACTGATTTTTTGCCTTATTCCAAGAAAACTTCATTTATGAAATTAAAGAAACTGAATTTTCTATGAATGAATATCAAATTGAACCAACAAGTAGAAGGAGAGAATGGCGACAAAGGATTTGGGTTTGTTTTATTTTCTTGATAAACCATATATTCATATAGTAAATGTATTTTGTAGATTACAAATTAGAATATTTGTAGAAAATCTAGTATGTCTTTTCTTTTTTGTTCAAAATCTATTATCTTCGTTTTGTAAATCAATTTTTTTAATATAATAAAAGGATTATTGATGATATGTTCTAGTCAGTTAGCATTTCATTATTAATTTACGGATATATTATTTTGAAAACCATTAAATTTTGCATATATTTTGGAAAAGTTATTGTAACTTTTAAAATTACCTATATATCCTTAATATAATCACTAATTCCTAAATTTCGTTATTTCTTTAAATATCCTTAATATAATCTTTAATTTCTTAATTTATTTTTTTTAGAAAAAATAAAGAAATTTTTGAATATTAAGAGATTACCCGATATTTTAGGCATTATTATCATTTAAATCAGTTAACCATTTTCAAATCAATTTGAATTTAAATCTATTTTAATAAATAAATGTTTTTTTTGTCACATGTCACATTCTCATTCATTTTGCCAAATGTCATTTGGTGGTTATTTTAGATTAATTTTTTTCCGCGTGTCATTTTATGGATTTTTCTATTTTAATAAATTCTACATAATACTTTAATGTAATAACTAGAATAAATATAGTAATAAATGAATATCAATTTCATTAATGAGCTTACATTCTTATTTCAAAATTCTCAAACTAAAGCTCATTAGTATTTGTTTATTTATTTAAATTTAAAAAATAATAAAGATCAATTTTAATAATTCATTATTTTTCTTATTTTCTTATAAATGAAAAGTTCTTAAATATTTAGATCTTTATATTTAATTTTTTTAATTAACCCATGTATTCACATAGGACACACTTAAAATGCACCATAAAAATAAAGATAAAACCTCCAGAAGATAACATCTGGAAGAAAGTTATTTTGATTTTGTTAGATAGTATAGATTAAAAAGTTTATTAATTACTTTAAATTCTCGAAAGGGACTTGTCGAGTATATTTATGTGTTTTGATTTCATACCCACATAATATTTATTTCATATTTTATGAAAAATGAATATTATTATTTAAACTCACAACAAGAAAAACAAGCAATAACGACAACGCCATTAGCAATGAAACCAAACATACACGTTTAATGTCGCCGTTAGTAGTGGCTATCGTCACTAATGTAATTAGAGCCCAATCTACGTGATCTTGTAACTGTGCACATTGTCCATCGATTAACTGAGTATTTCCAAACAGACAAACACAAAAAGGCTTCAACGGCAAACAAAAACGTTTGTGCACTACAAAAATACGTAAACCGTGCGACGGAGGGGGGGCGCAGCTCATACATTAGTGCTTGTTTTAAAAATGTAAGTTATGTTATATGTACTTTTTTTATTTAAAATATAATCTAATTTTTAATGTTAAACAAAACAAGACCAGAGTTGAAGTATTCTATGATGTCTACACCGATTAGAATGATGTATTTGACAGTGCTTTAAGGGAGGAACATGATGTAAGTATTTAATTATAATGAGATTATATAAGTGTTTATTTTTACTATGATGTTAATCATTTTTGGAAAATACAAAATGAGTTAGTGTGTGGGCTCCAAGCACAAATTAAGGGCTAAATCTAAAAAACGTAAACAACTCAAGAACTTTCCAACATCATCATTTCATTCACTATGAAACAGATGGTTTTACATCAAACAAATTACACCGGAAAGCTCACTACACAAATACACTCACACTCATATTACAATCTATCGGAATCTGTAAAAGAACACAGAATATAAACAAACCAGAGATAGAAAACCCTAATCTACAGTTGAGAGAATGAGAGAACACTTTGCGAAGGAAAATATCTTCTGAATGAATAAAACTCATCCAACTACTCACTTAAGTACTCCGGGTTGAACGAACCATGGATACAACCCAAAGTCCACGTGTAAACCCGATTCCCTGCATAAAATATTCACAACATACCCTCACAAATATACATATATACATATCTTACCCAATAATCTATAAATTAATGTTTAAGTTTGGATATCAAATATATATTAACTTTTTTAACACGCCCCCTCAAACTAAATATTAATTTGAGAGAACATATAATCAATTAATTTCTTTAAAAACATCAATCATATTAAGACGATTTACAATATATTCTTGTTGACTACTTGTAAGTGATTTTGTTAAAATATTTGCATTTTGGTTTGAAGAAACAATTTTATATACTTTTAAAATCCCATTCTCAATTTTTTCCCTGAAAAAATGAAGATCAACTTCAAAATGTTTCGTTTTTTCATGAAATACATGATTTAAAGCTAATTTGATTGCAGATTCATTATCACAAAAAATATCAACAGGTAAATTAGGTTTTACACCCAAATCATGCATCAATTTTAAAATCCATATTATTTCACATGTAATGCTACCTAAAGCCCTGTATTCAGACTCTGTGGAGGAGCGAGAAACAATACTTTGTTTCTTGCTCTTTCAAGAGAGAAGAGAACCACCTAAGTAAACAAGATAACCAGTTACAGACCTTCGACTAAATAAAAATTTAGCCCAATCTGCATCAACAAACCCAACCAAATTAAAAGAACTAGACTTAGTCAAATGAATACCCATACCTGAACTGTTTTTCAAATACATCAATAATCTGAAAGCAATATTAACATGAGATTTATATGGTTTATGCATATACTCACTTAATAATTGAACAACATAAGAAATGTCAGATCGTGTAATTGTTAGATAAATCAGTTTACCTATAAGCTTCTGATACTCGGTTATATTAACCAAATAATCTGACTTATCCAAATCACACTCTCTTTTAATGAACAAATTAGACTTAATAGGAGTTTTAACAAGTTTGCATGCAAGCATTCCAAACTCATGAAGTAAGTCTATGCAATACTTTTTTTGATTAAAACAAATGCCACTATCAGTTCTTAACACTTCTATCCCTAAAAAATATTTTAGATCCCCCAGATCCTTTATTAAGAACTGAGACTTAAGGAAATTTTTAACATTATTTAATTCAGCTTTATTATTTTCAGTTATAATGATATCATCCACATAGACAAGAAGCACAAAAAATGTATCTGGAAAATTTCTAACAAACAAAGAATAATCATTTATACTCTGTTTGAATCCAAAACTGGAAAGAGAAGAGCACAATTTCTCATTCCACTTTCTAGGGGCCTGTTTAAGACCATAAAGAGATTTTAATAACCTACAAACACGGGTATCATCCTTTGAATGATATCCTTCAGGTTGACTAATGTAAACACTTTCAGAAAGATTTCCATACAAAAACGCATTGTTAATATCAAATTGATAAAGAGGCCATGAATTATAAACAGCTAAGGAAATAACAACACGAACTGTTATTATTTCAGCAACAAGAGAAAAGTCTCCTCATAATCAATACCTTCCCTTTGGTTATAACCTTTAGCCACAAGTCTGGCCTTATATCTTTCTATATTACCATTGGATTTATATTTGATTTTATAAATCCAACGACATCCTATGGCTTTTCTTCCTTTAGGAAGATTAGTAATTTCCCAGGTATTATTCCTATAGACGACTTCCATCTCCTCATTCATAGCTTTAATCCAATTTGGATCTAAAGCTGCTTCACTATAGCTTTTTGGCTCAACAGTTTTATTAAGACTTGAAATAAAACAAAATGTATCATTATTAAGAGCTGAATAGTTCACAGATCTCTCAATTCCATATTTGTGTTTACCTTCTACAATATAATCACTAAATCTAACTGGCATGTGAACATTACGTCCAAATCTAGTGACCCTAGTTGACAAACTGTCTGAAGGACTGGAATTAATTAAATCATTTTCCTCAGTCAAAATAGAATCACTTGTAAGCATCTCACCAGAAGGAGGCACATATGCCTCACCAGTCCGGTTGCTGACATTAAAGGAACAAGCCTCATCTAGGTCATGGTCTGCATTAGCACCATCCATCTGATGTTTACTTCTCAAGTGTTCTAACCTAGTTTATCAAGA